GGAGCAGGGAAGGAATGGTGTTCCGGGGCTTTTTAAAAACTCTCAGAAGTGTGCAATCACCATTTGGAAGGCAATGTACGCCTACAATTTCTGCTATAGCATAAAGGTTTAGAAGAGTAGACCTAAGTGATGTTTGTCTGGTTTTCTCCATTCCAGGGTCAAAGGCTCTCCACAGAAAGGTGCCTAAGAACTGAGGGGAGGGGGAAAAAAGAAAGAAGGAAAATTAAATAATGATTCTGCTTGTGAAAGCTGTATATTAGAAGCACCTTCTCGCTTGAAGAACTTACTTTCCCTTCCTTGTGAAAGGGTAATTCAGCACAACTGTAACAATTCTGAGAATTTTAAGCTTTTAATATTTTTTCTTCCCAATCAGTGCTATCTCCAAAATTTAAAAAAAAAAAACACCAAAAAAAAAAGAAGGTCTCAGAAGGCCTGAAACTCCACTAATTGAATTTATCATTTACTTAAATTATTGCTGTTGGGATGAAAAGCAGAGAATGAAAGTTTTCATTTATCACAGAGGAACTTCTTGAAGAAAAACCTCTGTCTTCAAAAGCCACAGGCTCTTTCATTAAGATGAGCTTTAGGTGTACAAAAAGGATATACTGTGCAAGGAAGGAAAAACAACAAAAAAAGTCTTTTCCAAACTGCTATATAACAGCATTCTTATCTCAAAACAATGAGTTTAGGCTGATGGTAAAACCAGCAGTGTCAAATTCAGTAAGCTATTACAGTGCAACATGTCAAAATTGTCCAATAGCAATTATCTTGCCCAAGATAAAAATTAACACGTCTGGAAGGATTTCCATAGTAAATTTTCTCCTGGGCTTTATGACACAGCTATAAAAAAAAAAATAATTGAACTGAAAACATGTCCAAGTTCAAAGAATTCTGTGGATTCGCTTAAGAAAAATAACTTAAAGCAGCAGTCAAGATTTTTCTTATAGTACCTTTTCCCACATACATCTGCATTGGACTCTGTTGTCCGTACTACACATTGCCAGCATGCATTATTGCAGACAATACCACTGTGAGCAGCCAGGAAACATTTCAGACTTCAAGGCACTTTCACGCACCCCTGCACCCAGCACCTGTAAGGTGCAGTACCTGAGGGAGCTGATAAGGAGAACTCACCGAATGGGATGTACTGGAGGAGCCAGGTGCAAAGAAAAGCTGGCTCGTCCCTTACAGTTCTCACCATTGTTCCAACGCCACGCATACAGCGCCTTAAAACCAAGACTGCCCAACTACACTCCTAGACTCATGAAACAATCTAATACCATACCAGACACTTGGGATGGAATCAGGACTGACTAGGTAGTACGCCAGCAACAGGAGAGACTGAAAGACTGCAGGAGAGGCCTGTCAGGCAGACACTTTTTCACTATCACCAAGTATGAATTAATAGCCATAAAACTTCTGTTGTAACAATTAGCTATTGTTTGTGAAGCTCTGCAATTTCAAGATATCCCAATCAACACATAATAACTCTCCCTTCCTCATCTTCTACGCACACAGCTGTTGGGATTTTAATTTCCTTCAAGAAGGAATTATCAAGCTGTATGATTCATTCTGTGCATATATATACACATCTAATTATAACAAGATTTTAGCCTGACCTCTGTCTTAGAAATTCAGATAAACTTGCTTAACAGAGTTCAACAAATAATTTAAGATCCACAAAAAGGTATTACGTGGCTTTTATATGCGAGACCATATGCTGTGTTATCAGCTTCAGTGTAATAGCACAGGCCTACAGAACCTGCAATGCACAAACAAATCTGTTTGCCTCTCATCTAAAATTAGTGCTTGCTCATGCATCCATTCCATGGTAAATGTGAATGGGCTAAGATTGTACACTACTGCTATTAACCCATTGCTCCTCCACACTAACTGTCTCACAGCTTCATGTCCTCTGGAGTGTACAGTGTCTGCTAATCTCCTGACAGTGGCTCAGATCTGGTCTCTGAATGCTCAGCAGCATCTCATGCTAACTGACACCAGAGCCTGTACTACCATACAAGTCTCCAAGTCTGAGAATGCTGTGTGCCAGGAAATTAAGAAATGGAAGCGAATAGAGAGTTGTCAGATTAGGAAGGTGGCCGGAAAACAGAAAGAGGCTTGAAGGAGAAGCTGAAATTAGGTTGGAGAGGCATGCGAGTACAGCAGGAAGCCCTGCAGATTCTTGTAGCTACAAAAACAAACCACTAGCTACAGATTAGAGCTGAATACTGAGAAAGGAATACCCAGTTCCTGGTTTTACATAAAATGAGCACAGCAGATCTGCGCCCATCAGCTCAAAGTTCGTGGGGCAGTCTAACGCCTGCCAGCTCATCTGAGCGGTACACCTATTCAAGTGTCTACTTCACTTTCCTTAACTATGTGCCTGCAAGCACAGAGGTCCCTGCCAGCCAAAACCATTCTGCGACTCTAAGGACAGACACTGAACTACTTCAGAAGAGGCATATGCCATAGCTTCTGGCTTGAGCAGAACTTCAAAAACAATATTGGATTTTCAAAACTGATAAGACTGTGGATTCAGAACAAGGTCAAAGTCTTAGTGCAACCTATAATTAAACAATTCCGTTCTCATTTTGAAAAAAACAAACCAAAACAAACAGAAACTGTTCTTGCCCAACAGTTTTAAAAACAAAAGACACTTGAGAGAGGACAATTAAAACAATGTAAAATGCTGCCAAAAGGGAAAAACCCAAGGCCTACACAAAATCACACCTTCCTCAAGCAAAAAACCTGCTCTGCATGATCCATTGTGTTTAGTGTCCTGTGTGTTTCAACACGCAAGAAAAAAAATCTGTAACACTTCAGACTCTGCCCTGCAGTAACAAAGTGCTGTATATTGCTAATGTAGCCCCTTAACAGCCTTATTAAAACCTGAAAGCTCCTCTAGCACCTTTTTTGGTTGTTGCCCTGCCTGTTAATAGCACAGGAGGCTATTAAGCACAAGTTGTCTAAATCCATTCATTGAAGATTTGCCACAAGTTCTCAACTTCTGTCATGAAAATATACACATACGAATAAACATGATTTCCCGATGCACCCTCAGACATAAGCTCTAAGTGATGCTGTATCCCTTTTACTTAGGCATATCATCAACTGTACTCTCAAAACACAAGAAGGGATAATTAAGCTCCTTACAGAACCGGTCCAGCATAGGCTAGTGTGAGAAGATCCTCCTTGCAGTGACTCAGACACCTATTGAGCAATGGGCCTCTGAATCCACAGCTTCATCTCCAAAGAAGTGAAACCCCAGCAGAAGTTGTCTTGAGTACTAGTAGCATCCGGCTAGTATCAATTGTGTTGAGCACTGGAAGTTAGGAGACCTCCTGTTTGGACCACAAGCTGAAAAAAGCCACAAGACAGTGGCCAATTTGTTTAACCTCCTGGGCTATATTTGAACTGGTGATTCACCATGCCCATCTTACTAATAGTTCCTTCAGCTAGCCATTTCAGCCCCCTTCTCTAACCTCCAGAAGTCTTCAAAACTCAACTATTACTCAATACATACTTCAAGATGAAAAATGTCACTATCGTTGCCAGAAGACACAACTAGTTCCACCACTTGGAACACACACAGCTCAACTTTTAAAAGCTTTGTTAAAAAAAAAAGAACAACTACTGTATTGGACAAAATTGTGTGCGGATTCCCTACAATATCAACTTACCATGGCCTTCAGTCATGTTTTTTTCCTACTGAAGGCATTAAAATGTCCACCTTGGTCCATATAAGAAGAGCAGTGATCACTATATGTACTTCTATAGTATGTCACTAAAGCTATTCTGTTTCTCAAAATTTTGCAGCAACATTCTTCAGCCTAAAACTTTTCCTCTTTGGTCTCAAGATGTTTCAGGAATCTCTTCTGTTATTCTGAATTATAAGAAGTTATTCTTTGAAGTCTTTCTTAGATTTATTTGCTTGACAAGAACTCAAAAATAGCTGAACAAAGCAAGCAGCTACGAAGTTAGCTCTCCAGGAGGAAGCATCTGTGCTGGTTTCGTTTTCTTGGCTTTCTGGGTAGGGAGGGACATTTAAATGACAAGCAACTGGGACGAAGCAGGGAAGAAGCAAACAAAAAAACCCCCAAAAACCACACTGAGGAAGATCTGCCAAGATTTAGTACAACAAAGCGTTATGAACCTCCATCTCTTCTAGGACCTGTTTAGTGAGTGGAAGGGCCTGAAACCTTTTTCTTGGGGGTGGGAAAGGGTTAATCTTTTAATTGAGCAGTTCCTACAAAATAGAAGTAAATAAGAAACATTAACTTTACAAAACATGAGTTTCCCCTCAATCTGTACTCAAACTAAAACAGCAGGAAAAACATTTTATAGATTTTGACTCAAAACAATGCTATTCCTAACAAGCGAATACTCCCTTCTTGTTTTTCCTGAGCATTTTACAGGGGGATTAAACATGCAACCCAGTAAAACTGTGGGAAAACTCACGTGAATGGAAAGTTCAGTTTCTCATTTGACACTTAGATCTTGGCCAGGGTATATGGGCAATGGAATTCCTTATTATGGAACCCAGATTAAGCTGTAATCTTGGTGTTATTCAAAACAAGATAGTGGTAGGGACTGAATACACTAATATCACCTAGCTGAAATGTCCCTGATTCACCTGTGAAATGTGCACACAACTGGAGTATAAATAAGACAAACACAATGCAGTGTCACTGAAACAAATAATATTTAGGGGCAGCTCAATGGTAATCCACATCTCTCATTTAGAATATTATCAGTGAAATTTTATGTTCCTGCCATGATTCTTTTTCATCCTAATCAGCGCTTCTGATGAGAAGACATGCAAGGGCTAGGAGCAAAGTACAGTTCTGAGTCCTGATTTTGCAGTCTTCCCACCAAGTAGCACGTGATTAGCTCACTAGTCACTATAAAAGAAACGATCACTCAAGGTGAACAGCAGTTCCAGAATCTGGCCTGAGAACTGTGACATACTGAGTACATATATCATGAAATAGTCTTACCTCAGTAAGTGCGTGCAGCTGTCCTTCATGCACACAGACACCCATAAACCTACAAGAAACAAGAAAAGAAAAGTGGTTTGGGCTTTTTCCCCCCCTCTTTTTTTTTTTTTTCTTTAAAGAAACTAAGATAATAGGAAGTACTGGATATGCCAAGAAAGAAGGAAAAAGAAAACATTCAGCCTCACAGATACTGCATACCTCAAGGCTGATTATTTAAACATCTCAGCACAAAACAACGTTATGTGTCTACACTACAATACAATTTGAATTAGCAGTTCCAAGACAGCACAGGAGACAGCTCAAACTCAAGATGGAAAGTTACTAATTCGACTATAAGCAAAGGCCAGCATATAATGATTTACACAGAAATGAACAGCCTCAGAGTTCTTTTTTACAGAAGTTTAAGCCAAGCAATCCACTGTTGGTCTGCACAAATAGAAAATTACTTCCTTTTGCATTTTGCTGCTTAAGCACAAAGATGTTTCTTCCTATCCCATTCCTAACCAACTCAGGAATATGAGGGCACATACGTGCAGTATACTTCCCCTCCCCAACCCCATTTCCAACAGCTGGACTGAAGCAAGTTTCGACAGTATCTAGCATACAAACATTCCACAAAATTTACCTACACTGCACAAGGTTCAGACTCCTGCTGTTGGCAGTAATGACTGTCACCCTTGATTTTTCTGGAAAGCGATAGAGAATGTGCCATACATTTCACCTACAAGGAACAACTGAAAGCTCATTTTTACCACCATACAAGCTGAACTTAAAAGTGAAAAAATGCAAATTAATATTGACAGTAAACATCACCCATGAGAAAGTTCAGTAAAACCTCAGTTGTACGCACTTCAGAGCCCTTCCTGAACAGTTTAAGTATTGTTTCTTCTCAGATTAACTAATTGTCATTTTTATCATTTACATTTTTGTCTCAACCAGCAAAAACACATTGTCATTTGCACACTGTCCAGAAAATTCCACTTTGCAAGCAAGGTGTAGAAATGCATGATTTCATTAAACGTGACAGGGGAATCTGGTGGAGAACAATTTGAAGGAAAAGGACCTCTCATATCCTCAAACACTTCTGAATTTAAAAACAAAATGATGCAAGACACATGTAGTACTAGTTCAGCTAAGCTGCTTTGAAGAAATGAATGATCCTCACTGTTCTCTTGCCTAACAGCTGACTGGCAAATTACAAGCAGCCAAAGAAAAATAATATAGGCAAGGTCCTTTGCATAAGCTGAGCCATGGAAATCTGTTTTGATAACCAAAAAGCAGCAGGACTTGTACTTGAACGTCTATTGCCTGCTCTCACCTCATATAATATTCCCAGAATTAAATATGCAAATTTTAATTTGAGAGACAGTGAAAATTCAATTCTTCTTGTTTAATGAGGAACTATAGGGCACAACCAGGTATTCCGGGGAAAGGGAAGAATGGCTCTTTTAGATATACCATCTACTCAAAACATCATTGTTTCTGAGTTTCACTTCACACAGCAGTTGCTTATGAACAATTTTGTAAACAAATTGACAAATTAAGCTTCCTGAGACTACAAAATCCAGACTCCTCCAAAGCACAGATCTGTTTTTTCCTTAATGCATTCTGAAAGTCTTCAGAGCTATCAGGCATGGTGTTAATAGCTTTATTCAAAAGCAAAAATGGAAAAAGAATGCAAGATATCAGTTCCACTATTAGACTAATTTTTGAAAGTATTATTTTCTCTTCTATGAAACATGCTAACGACACAAGGTTAACCCAGTACTCCAGTATTTTCAATCAATAAAAGCTGAGGCTACGTAATTAAAAATAATAATGTTTTCATCTATATATCAACTCTTCCTTTGTAAAGGTATATTACATAGATTTCAAATTAGGAATTCATTGTATTTGACTTAATTCTAAAATAAGAATGTAATTAAGAATTTATCAAAATTTTGGCAAAATTAAATTTCTTGTCTCATCTTTACCAAACAGGAAAAATATCACCATCATCCAAAGACTGGTAGAACATAACTTTTTCTGCCAACCTGTTTTGGTCAAGGGAGGTCTTAATGGAAACATAACCATTACCTTTGTGATCCTACACTTCAGGCAGAAAAACACACACTGGCTCGAGTTACCAAGAGTAAGAGTTCAAAAATTCTTAAACGTTTAGGATTTCTATCAGGAAACAGAAATACACTTTTAACTTTAAATCAGAAATTAAAAACAAAGCTCAATATCATGATGTCATGGAAAAAAGCTGGACCTAAAGATACATTTATAAACCCCACATATTTAGAAGTTATTACCCAGGAAAAGAGAAACCAGATACACTGATAAAGACAGAATAAATGAGTTTACAAGCAACATATTGAAACCATTTAAACTTTGTGTCAAGAATCTCAGCTTTCAGACTCTGGAAAACAGATTGATAGAATAGACCTCTAGTGATCCAAAGTCCGGAAAAATTTCTTCTTAGCTGCTGTATCAAGCAATAACAAGCTTCTTGGTTAAGCCAAGTACTGCTACAAAACACTCCTGGAAAGCATTTTCACTCAAAGATAATATACGCAGCTGCTACCAGGAAATACAATTACCAAGCAAGACTTAACATAAGATTTCAATTTTCTGAGATTGCCCCAGATGAGATTCCAAGTTCTGTGGACAGGAAGCTGACATGCTGGCTCACTACAGCTGACATTATTCCTGTTGGCTAGACGCACTGTCTCCAGAGCCAAAATGTGCTTGTAGGTGAACTTCAGCAGAATGTCTTGTCAGCCAAAGGTTACACTTCCTATAAGCATTTCTAGTTGGAAGAAGTCTCAATGAGCACTCATCCACGAAACAGGAGACCATTTGCAGATTTAAGGAAGTTTATTTTCAAGACAGCGTATCTGGCCTTATCAGGAAAGCTGAAGCACTTCCAAAATCCTAACTAGTGGTTGGAAAAGTTTCCCCAGAAGCTGCAAATATGAAGGATGCTATTTGAGTCCACCCTACTAAATACAGCGCAGCATACTTCCACCACAAAATGCTTTCTAACAAATGTCTGCAATGTTCAGATGTTGGAAGTCTCTTTCCAGAAACCAGGTTATTCCTCAGTCAATCTGGAATACCTGCCCTCCTAGTCAAGTGCAAGCGAATGTACTGCTGGATATTTCTTAGTCCGTTACAGCAGTTACCCAAACTGCTTTCAGTTCAGTCTGACTGCAAGGGAGAAAATTCTGGCCAGGAAGGGGGAGACTAAGAACTATAGCCTCAGCCTCCTAGCTTTGCCTCCTTGATAAATCAAGCAAAACTAACATCCAGATTATACAGCCACTGTGGACTTCTAGACATTGAACACATGCTTTGCATTCTAATAACTTCACTGGGACATGTTCCTGTTCTGTGGATAAACCTGGGGCATACAGTCCAACATAAAAAATTGATGCGCTCTGAAACCTACTGCTTGTATGAGAAAATTCAGCAGTTTGATGATAACATTAAACATAAGAAACAAACCAAACACACCAATGCAAAAGTCTCCCATATGAGCTCAGTAAAACAAAGAAGAACAAGGTCAAAAGACACACGCTTCTTTCACTGCACTGACTGCTTGAGAAGGAAGAGGATGAGTAAGAATATTAAGTCTGCATTAAGACCCTCCTTAGTATTTCAGGCACCGTGCTAGATTAAAAATGTATTTTAAGTTTTCTGCACTTGCATTTTGATACCAGACATAGAGGTAAGGCATTTAATCTAACGTTTTTGTAACACATTACACGCAATGCATACAGCCTCTCTTCTGCTGTCTTGTGCACAGCATTTCTGAAATACTCCTTTTTGGTAACCATATTACACAGACAGAAGTAAAAGTATTTTTATTTTCTGTTAAAGCACTGTTCAATACAGGACAAAGGATGTTAAAAGGCAAAAGCCATCCTTCTGCCTATTGTAGCAAAGTCCATCACAAGTAACTTCACAAAAATGAAGGTCTGAAAGCAGAAAACTGCATACAAAAAAAAACCTTGGTATTGTGTTCCCAGGGTGCTAGATCTGCCTGAAAAGAGATGAAATAAAACTCTCCTTGAAAGAAGTTCATATAATATGTACACTGCTTGCTTATTTGCATGTGTGCGTGCACACACAAGAAGGTGGATTTAATCAATGAGCCAATCTGCCTGCTTGCTCACTGCCAAACACACAGCAATACCCCCAAGCGTTCCCGTGAGAGCACATAAGACAGAAGCTAAGGCTTTCTGTGTACAGAATGCTTCAAAAGAAGTCCCCAAGGTACAGATCAAATAAAGAAATACTTTTTAATGCAAACAGTAGTGATATTAAAGACTGAAATTGTATCTCAAAATTGAAGATACACTAATTTAAAAGACAGCACAGGAGACAGAGAATCTGCATTAGCAAACCACTTCATTCGTGAAAATGAGAAAAACACACCTGTAAGACATTACCAGAATGAAAAGCTATCAGGTCTCTCAGGCTGCAGCCCTGAGGCTCCCAGACTAGGACACAAGGACAGCGACTTCTCAAGTCATTTCCAGCCCTATTTTCTTACTTTGATTTGGGTAAAAACTCATGACTAAGGCAGCACATCGGCATTCAGAGAAGCAGCAAAGCAGTAAAAAACATTTACAAGCATATATTAGACCTTTGATAACGCTGATACCAGATGTAACCCAACCCTTGAACAGCACGGCACTTTAAATGGGACACAAGATATTAAGGAAGTGAAGAAATGCTCCAAACTTCTGTCTTCCCTAACCCCAGCAATTACAGTCTTACCATGTATCAGCCAACCTGTATCAAAATGATTATAGTAAACACTGCATGGTGTAAACCGGAACTCCAGCTCACTTTTCCACTCCTGCTCTCACCATCTGTTCTGAGAGAAGATACAATAAAGCCAGCACATCTCACGCCCAGGGCAGGGAGAAGTGCAGATCAGGGGCAGAAAAGCGTTTTAGTTCCCCAGGTTTAGGTTGCATGCAGGAGTAGAGGTGAAGATAGGAGATGAGGTTGATGGTAGAAACAGAGCAGAACACTCCATAAGCACCACTAGTCTGCATCTGCCCTGTCCACTCCTAAAATGTCCCTAAACCTCGTCCGGGGTGGGGGGTGGGGGGGGGATGGGGAAGGAAAACAAAAAAAGCACAGCTCTTTCATATATAGTTTCCTATGATCACCAGACAGTGACTGAACAAAAAGTTACAACATTACAGTTTACATCTACTCTGCCTCTGGAATCACATCTGCTAATTGAAATAGGAAGCGAGATGGAGACAGACAAACAAAAAACCTCTAAAACCCCTTATGTTTTACCATTGTGCCAATATAGCTACAAGAGCTGGAGTCTTCTATTCCTAAATATCCTTAACAGACTGACAAAGCAGTTCTATTTTTGCAAAAATAATCCCTCTAATAAAGGGCAGTTTTTCATTTGCTTGAAGGAAAATATGTTAGAAATTTTTTTTTACATATATGTATATATTTGACCACTAAAATCTTCATAATGCTGCCATGGAGATGGTACACTTACTGTGTACTCGGTAAGTGAAAACTAAGCTCTTCACTTTCATCAGTCTTCTGATCAAGATGGATCTACACAGCTGGCCAAGAGCAGAATTTGAGCACAGAAATACTGAAACAAGTGGGGGATATTTAAAGTTACCTTTCACTACATGCTCAACAAAAACAAGTTCTTTTCAAAGCCTAAATAACCTAATTGATACTTCACCAAGTATGAGAAGCAGAGAAACTGAAATGACACAACTCCATCTCCTAAAGTAGTACAAAAGTGTCACTAAGCTAGAAACACAGACCTGCCTGCCTCTAGGTAATCTCTACTGAGCTAACGAATGGAAGAAAGTCAGCAGCTACTGACAAACTCACACTCCAGAACAGTGATTGCAGGCTAGGACAAAGCCTCAAAAGGCATCTGTAACTGTGAAAATGAGTTGATGTGGAAGGCACAGAAGCAAAATGAACAGGCTGCCCAGAGAGGTAGTAGATGGCCCAATCCCTGCAAACATTCAAGATCAGATTCAAGGTCAAGTTGGACGGGGCTCTGAGCAACCTGCTCTAGTTGATGTCCCTGCTCACTGCAGGGGGGTGGATTAGATGACCTTTAAAGGTCCCTTCCAACCCAAACCATTCTACGATTCTTTGATAAGCAGTTTCAAACAGTGAGCAAGATTTGTTATTCACATCAGTGCAATCAATGGCAAAAATACAAGAATATTTGCAATAACATCTGGAAGTTAACTGTGGGCAGCACATCAGAATCAATAGCTGGTAAAAAGCTGCTATGTATTTTAGAGTACTGGCAAAAGGATAGAGTTTTTTTTAATCAGCTAAAGGATAATAATGATCTTTGGCTACCAAATACAGTACTAAGAAAAGGAATCTCTTATCTTCCATATCACTTAACTCATATAAACCAGGGAAGAGTTCTAGGACAACAACATTGATTCAATTACAGATTTGAGGTACCAGAGCATCAGCATGTTCAAAAACATAACCATGCACTCAGACTAGGAAGATTTTGTTATACTAAAGTAAATGCATCATTGCTGAATCCGACAGTCACTTTCTAAAATGTTAACTGACTGATCTGCACACGTTGAAATAGGTTGAGAGCACATTTTGGATGCCGTAAAGCCAGTATTTATCCAGTTTCATAATTTTACGATCAACTACAGTAGGTAGTCCTAGAGCTTGCAGAAGATGAAGAAGCTCAGATGTATATACTACATAAAATCAGAGTACACCTTCAAGGAACGTGGAGGAGATCCAGTGACTAATCAATAAATAATTAAACCTAATGCTAGTGACAAAAAAGTTTACTCGATAATATAGAGGAAGAACTTCAAAGGACAGAAATTAAGGGAAGAAAATACATCTAACAGCAAACTGAGGTAGCTCATAGTCCCTGGGAAGGAGAAGTTACACATTAGAACTTCCCGGAAGAGAATAATTTCCTTTAAATACTAATACAATATTAAAACTTCCAAAAATAACCCCAGAAAGTGTTTAAACATGTTGTTGTAGAACATTTTCCTAGTGACATCGCAGCAATACTACTCCAGCTGCTCTAATTTAACAACACGATGTTTTCACCTCTCACCATTTTACTATAAAAGCAAATTATTATCAAATATTATTTTTCATGTGTTTCTAAAGTGGAAAATAGGCCCTAAACTAATTTTTACAACACTAGTAGAAGCACCAATGATTTACACGTTTCTGAAACATAAATACAGATGTTTGCATGCATGTGTGTGTATGTATACAGGTATATGTACACACATTGGCAGGTAACATTTAAAAAGGGCAAAATCTTCTCCCAGATATAAAGAGACTGCAAATACTGCAGTAAGTGATTTTAAACCAAAAACAGAATGACACATAACACACAAAAACACCAAGCTATCTGCTACAGAAAGAAAAACAATAGTTTTTACTGTGTATTATTATTCAATAGAAGAATAAACTAAACCTAAATATTCTTCTCATTTGCATTTTCTGTAGGAATGTACTCACTCTCTACAGCAACGGTACTTACCTAATACATAAAAAAGGGACTACTTTTTACCAGAGAACCAACTCTCTTTGAAGAAGCCTCAAACCAAGCAATTCATAAAGCAAGTGCAGATTATTCTTCAAAACAAGTTATGCAAAGATAAACTGTTTCTATTTAAGTCATTTATTTCTTATATATTCACTCGTAACTGTTGAGCGCACAGAAAAAAAAAGATTTCTCTATCAATCTTGTGTAATAACTGGAAGATCAAATGAAATTCCTTTTCTGCTTCATGCATAAATCAATACATTATTGTTCTTTCTTCAGGACCATCTGTGCAACACAACTGACTTCAAATTATTCATAGGAGGTAAGGCCAGAGGGGACCAGTATATCATTGATATGATCCCTTAGACATCGTAAGACATTTAAATTTCAGTAACTAATCAGAACTAAGCACAATAACTTTTGTTCCCAGCAACACCTGTGTAACTCCATTCAAGGGGGGGCAAGGTTACACTAAGCTGCAATTGAGTGTTTTTTGCCTGTCGAAACTATCCCTTTCCTACTTTCCCTCACCCCAACCCAAATTAAACACTTGATTTTGAACAGAGTTCTAAAGCTACATGTTTTTTTCCTAATAAGCTTTACAAACCACACAAAATTGATACTGAAATTGATGAAGTGTACTGACTTCATGATTCTGACAATGCCAATCCTATGAAGTTACTCTTTCCACAAACCTTACTAAAAAAGCAGCTGTATCAGTACCCAGGAACCTGTGCTGCTTATCTAAGGATTCTGTTGAAAGGAAGTTGTGGATAGATATAAGAAAATTAATGATCCTGAAACCTAAAAAGCCAGATATCTGACATCATTAAAAAAAAACAACAACAACAACAAACAGAACAGCCAGAGGAGTTGCTGGGAACTCACCTCACCTTGGAGCAGAAAAAAAACAGACTAAGAATTCTAATTAGGGACAGATTACTACAACACTTGAATAAATATACTGTGATAAAACCAATATAGTTTGCTAAGAGCAAAAATTCTCTAAGTTCACAGGGTGTTGGGGCTTTAAGAAAAAAACCCCAGGATTTCAAGGATCAGAAAAGTTGGTTACAAAGCATCTCAGGAATTAGTACTACGTCTGTACTATTTAACAGTCCAGTGAGGAAGAGGAAATTAAAGTTCACTGTCTCTCCAAAACTTTTCAAAAAGAGCTACTATACTGCCTGAGCTATCAAGATGGACCCCAGCTGTGCAAGAGCAGTTGAGGAGAACTGGTTATTTGGTGCACTGTCATCGCACCTTTAAACTTCTTAATGCTATGGCTTCAGCTAGTTATGTTAATTGCTTGTCACATAAGACTGAAAAGATTCAAGAAATAACAAGATACACCTTGAAACATTTTGGATTTGCATCCAGTTATCTATTGCAAAACAAGAACAACCTTTTTCCTTTCAAGAGCAGATAAATCAAGTTAGTTCAACTCTAGCTTCTTTTGTTCAGTCCTCTTATCCCACCTTGCAATACTACAATATGAAAATGGTAAAAACTAGAAAACAGACCTAAAATATGAGGAAGCTACGGCACTTTGCATTGCTAATCTGCAAGATCAGTAACCATAGATTATTTGAATGGTGTTAAATTGGCAATAAATTAAATCCATGAAGAAAAGTCAAATTTCACTCTTCATATCATTTTACTGACTCATCAGAAATTTATAATGTGAAAATGTGTTTTTGTCTGAAATTAGTCACTTGTTACTGGTAAACTCCAGATACCAAAATCACATTGATTTTCAATTTGCTCAAGTCTTCTCCTCCTCCCCTTCTTCCATTAGTTAGAAGATGATAGTAACATATTCACAACAGATACACCAATAATGAAAAATACATAGACAAAAATGTAAATAGGAAAGCTCTACTAAAGACTACCTATCTCTGTACAAGTCAGAAAAAAAGTCAGCATACCTTAAGATGTTTGGATGTGAGAGTCTATTCATAAGTTGAACCTCTTTCAGCAAGTTTGCTCTGTTGCTTTTCAGTGTGTTCATCTTCAAAGCCATTACCTGGTCTGAAGTTCTGTGCCTTACCTACAGGATACAAGCAAAAAATGGTAAGTATATGAAATGCAAGACTAAAAAGCTAGCAGCGTTGTAGTACAATTAGAGATCCTTCACAACAAATGACTTGATCTACACCGATTTCTGCAGTCTTTATCACTCAGCTGGCTTTCTATATAGTTTATAGAAACTATCCAAATGTGAAAAGGTATTTTGCTCTTCTCTAGCAACTGGCAATGACAGAAAGCTTGAGAAATTGGAAAAAAAATTATCAGCCTCTTAGCACAAGTGAGGGAAGCCACTTCTTTGTCCCCTCATCATCCTCATAACCCTCCACTGGACTCTCTCCAGCAGCTCCTCATCTTTCTTGATCTGGGGAGCCCAGAACTGGACACAGTACCCCAAATGGGGCCTCACTAGGGCAGAGTAGAGGGGGAGGAGACAGCCGAACTCATGATAAGCAGATGCAAGAAGAAAGCTGTGTATGTTTTTTGGTAGTGAGGCTCACTGACAGGTCTGAGGCAGCAAGGGATATCCATTTTCAAGTTTTATTTGCACATCATGTCTGCAAGAACAAGGGGCATATTTCAGCTAAACATTCTCACCCAGACACAGAGCACCATGAATTCAGCACAGCGATATACTGGGAGGAAAGGGTGTCACGTTTCTGATGTGTGACTGGCTCGAAAGCTTCCCAGTTGTCTACTCCCACCCTAGTTTGAAGTATAGGGTAGCACTGGAAACATCGCAGTTAAGTGTGGTAAACAACAGTGACTGACTGAGTAGAAAAACAGCCCACAGGTGCTTTATGCTTTTTCTCCTACTTCCCCCTGGACCATGCACATGAGCTCCTCAGATGCCTCACAGTCACCCAGTAATGCCAGCACACGAAAGATCAGAGAAACGAGGTGAAGAAGGATGTAGAAACCAGCACTGAGAGCAGAAACCAACAGCAAGTTCATAAGCATGGAACTTACATACACTCCTCCTTTCAGTGGCAACAGCGGCTTTAAAATAAAACTGGCTGAACTACAGCTTCAGTGCATTATAACAAGATAATCTAGAATCTTGCTGCACATAACCTGTCTTGCCTGTTTAGCATTCTTACTGGTTTTAAGCGGGATGACTGCATGTTAAGTTGATGAGGTTTATTGTTATTTGTCAGGTTTCTTGTTTCTATTGTGTGCTTTCATTAATTTTTAATTTTACACAGCTTTTGCATACCCAGCCAATTTGAATGAACAACCGAAGATGGACAGGTCTATGTCTATTTACAGACTTTTAAAATCTATGTTTTAGTTATACATTAGTTTTACTAGCAGTAACACTTTGGCTGAGGAGCAAAAAATTAAAAAAAAAAAAGCTTTCATTGACTTAAGAAAGGAAAATTTGTTCCAACAATGCAAATTTAAATTAACAAAAAAGGACAGTTTAAAAGCTTTGAATCTACACACAGCAGCTAAATCAGCACACTTCCTCTGGGAGGAGGGTTAGGAATCTTGGGTGTTGTGGTGGAGTAATTTGGGGTTTGCAGGGAATAGCAAAGAATCTGAAGGAACTTAACTCCTGCAGGCAGAGAGATGTTTTCAACAGAACTTCCTCAGAAATCAGCTTTCCACTTACATAGAAGCTTCAAGGTCTGCCAACAAGGAATGAATAGAGGTAGAAGGGGGAGCAGGAACTCAGATGGAGTGTGGCTTTAAACAGTATTTGCCTTCTCATTAACTCTGCTACCTACCTCTTAATTTCCTGCCCATTTCTATAATTCACTCAGTTCCATGCCAAAATTTCAAGTCCTTTTGCCTCAACTCTGAGGATCCTCAACCTATCATAGGATCTTCTTCCTTGTTCTTTGCCTTTCCCTTGTTCTGACCACTCGTCTTGAGCTAGGAAAATCTCAGAGAAGAGGGTGGGTAAATTTTGGGGGCACTGTGTCCTGCGTGCTTCCCGGATTTTCAGCTCTGATATGCAAGAGGAAGTGGTTAGCAACTGCTTCTCAAAGGCCTGACTGTCCACAGCACTAACTCCACATCCAGAGAAAACTCAACTGCTTTTGCAAAGATAATTTTTCATCCTCCATTTCAGAAGGATATTCTGTAGTCTTTTCAGTCTTGGTAGACTGAACAAGGTTCAGTGGTGAGGTCTGGGCGTTTTTTGCTCGTTTGTTTTATAAAATCGTTTTCCCCATGTTTGGAAACAGCTCAGATTTCTAGCACACACAGCATATTCTGTCTGTATAACTCATCTCAAAACAGCACCTAACACTGTGCTATGCTTTGTTTCACTTAAATGGGCGCTAAGGTAACGCCAGTGATTTTATTTGAACTTTGTACATTGTTCTGATGTCGAGGCATGTATTCCTGCTAAATCTGATAGAACAAATTACCTAATCAAATCAAAGGAGAGGTGGAAAAACAGGAACTCTTCCTCTCTTGCTAGCTACCCTTTAAGCAAGGAGGAAGAAGCAGAACTGAAGGTGCGAGGGTATCTTCTGGAGATGACAATACTCAGTATTATGAACAAACTCCAATACCAGTTTATATATTATGAAACACAGCGCTAATCACTTGGTATATATGTAAGGCTAATTGTGTTCTCTTCACTGAAGCACTGCTAGCAAACAGTATTTCTGTGGCAAGAACGGACTGCCAACACAGAACAGACAGGTCCTATCTTTAAGTTCTTGGTCAAGCTCCGGATCATCTACACAGAAGGAGCTATCAGTTACACTTCCCTCTGTGGCTGTTTACTTGTCAGTCATCCTCCAGACAAAATTTGGTCTGTTTTGGCATCCCATGACAAAACCCTGCTAAACCGTTTAGTTTTAATCCTTCATCTCCTTTCAGGGCACCTCTGTGCAATGAAAGCATGGAAGTGATGTTTCAACCACCTAACACCTCCAGAAGAAAAACTAGTGAATATTTTGGAAATACTGCTGCTCCAATTTAACATTTGTTTACAAGGCAGTTTGCCTCAGGCATATGCCTGTATACTTAACATAAACAGGGATTCACTCGTGCAATTCAAACCTTCAACTGATGGAACTAGCAGACTGCTGTAAAGCTTTTAAAGCTGTTGACATTATTATTAATTAGGGTTCCTTGCATATCCGAGCAAGTAACCTTTCAGGGATGTCTGGACGATCATGTCTCTGCTTAGAAATATTCTGACAATCTACAGCTGCTTTCCCATGCTGCTTTGCACACGCTTCTGACTTCTCAGTCTGCTTACCTATGTGGCTCCATCTCCGAGGTCACAGTAACCAGATATTGCCTCCCTGTTTTATTGCTGGCAGGCAGTTAAACTGTCCCTGTGCACTCTGATTCTTCTAGGATCGAAGTACTTTGTAAGTACGTTGACTTGGCTATGGCTAGCTGCATGGCCTGCGTGCTCACTGAGTCTCCAAACCATGTTCTGACTCTGGACCTTACCCTTTCCTTTAGAAGATGAGAAGAGGAAGTCATGGATCCAGGTACAGAAATGGTAATGTATTTGAAGGAAATCTCATAATATTGATTGAACAGGGCTCAAATTCAAAAGAACTAGTTGCTACATAAACGCTGTACCAAGTTCAACATGGAATATCCTGTGAAAAGTGGTGGTTTTCATTTTCAGCTTGCTACTTAGCTACAGAATTCTTTATTATTTAAAAAACCTAAATATCACTTTATTTATTAAGTCATATACATATGTCGGGGCTTTCTGAAATTCAAAACCTTTATATTACTTCTACTGTTTGCCTGGGCTGAAGGGGGAGAAGCATTTAAGTAATAGCTGAAATCTAACCTGATTTCACCTTTCACAAGGTCTTTTTGACCTTTACTATTAACTTTGCCTTTTCAGGTGTCCTTGGAATAAGCATCTGAAGAACAGTTCCTCCTATTAACGTTCTAAATCTGCCAATACAGTTTTCAGCTTTGCCCCTAGTTTTTCATTGCATTGTCATTGTTTTCCAACTACATAACAATGATGTGGAAGTATATCACTGTTCTCTTCCAAAACTGGATTTATTTGCTTTCCAGTTTTTCCTTACCTTTCCATCTTCTGCTGCCCAGCCTCAATGCTTAATCATATTTACAGATCTTATACAGCCTACTGTGTAAAATCACGTTGACTCCCTCTCCCACACTAATTCTTTCTTCATTCTTTTACACACCTCAGTCTTCATCTGGCCATTTCACCCCTGCCTTTCCTGCCATGTGTCTGAAGTACCATTTAAAAGCAGCCCTCTCTAGTCCAAACATATGACCTCCCTCAAGTTTGCTTCCTGTTTCTGAGCACATTGTATTATCCACAAAAATGCTGCACATATTTTTACTTATACTGGCTCACCAACCTTACAGTCAGCAATTCAAATGTTTCCTCCACGCTCAGCCTGCAGCATTCATGTTAGTGACATACACAGTAAAGCTCATATGACTTATTTATCTATGCCACCTTCTATCAGTCTCTTTTCTGTAACAGGCCAAGTGCCTTCATCTGATTTGCGAATATTTTCTCGTGTGATGACAAGGGATGAAGATGTTACCTTCATTGCCTTTCTAGGCTGTTCGTACTACCTATGCTATATAGTATAACTCTGATTGAAGAAAGCTCCCTTCAATTGAGAAGACAAACCTGTTCTTCAGCTCAGATCACAGTGTTTGTAAAACTGGAATCTCAAATCTTTTTCTAAACATTAAAATGTACCCACAGACACACACATTCGTAGTAGTGATGCCCATATCAAGTCAAAAATCTCACGTCACTAGGAAAATTTGCAGTGACAACCAGAAGCTTAAAGAAATATATCAGTCCAGATAATACTAAGCTGCTATGTTGATGCTAGGGAGTCAGACTGGGTTGTGGTTGTTTTCAGAGTAGTAGTATCTAATGTCACTACACTATAACTTCTTGTAGCAAGAGAGAAGCCTGCCAAGTGTAACAAAACATTGCCAAACAAAACCAGTCAGCATGTGTTACAAGAACTTCAGCACAGGTTCAGACGATGTACAGAAACAAGACATAAAACAAAATCCAAAACTTTTCCA